GGGGAGATGAATTTATATTTTTGATACATTTATATAAAAAAGATTATATATTACATTTCAACCAAACCATTTCTGTGAATATATATGGAAAAAAAAAAAAACTATCATAGGTACTAAACATATCGTATACATATGGTACGTACTTAAAATAAATATGATGAAGAACCTTATGCGCCGAGTGTTTGCTGCCGCAGATTATGATATTGATATATTAAAAATGATGGAGTTAATAATGAATTTGAGGACGTAACGACAAGTTAGTATTGTTGTTGTGTCCTTTAAATGTTTCGTCAACTGTAAAATTGGCATGAACAATTCGTGATGAAATGATTGCTTTCCTTTCTCGTTTCTCCTTTTTCCTTCACATCCGGCGTCACTGCAAATGACGGCAACGCTCAAAACTCGAACGAAGCACCTTTATCCACTCTATTCCAAAAGTCCTTTTTCTCTTCCGATGGCGTAAATGGTCTCACAAGATGGTATTGAAGGATTTGTTGTTGTTGGTTATAAAGGTACTTCCACTTTTTTTTCTTTTTAATTGCATTCATACGTGTACAACCGTATACATGAGTATTCTTCACACATTTTTACGTATTTAATAATCCAATTTTTCTTCGCTTTACATAAAAAAAATTCGCATGCTGTTGTGCAATATATTCAGGATAACTTATGTATGTTTTATTATAATTGTGACTTTTTTAAAAATATTCTTATTTTCACAACGTTTTTTTTTTTTCTTAGGCTGAAAAAAATGAGTCTGTGTTGTTATAAAGTTCTTATGAAACACAACGTTCAACACACATTGATTGATTTCACATTTATATCAATTTTCTGAATCATGCATGTACCGCTCTGGGGGTATATTATTGAGCATTTTTTCCACAAATTTAAGAAAAAAAAAAGGAACTATTTCACTAATATTTACAAGCTTTTCCACGTGTCCCGAAACTAACCATCTTCTTTTTCCTCACGTCAAACGTCATGCTAAGCATCAATCATTTCTCAGTGTGTGAGATTAACAACCCGACCTCCTGCACGCTTGTAAAATATGAAACCAGTATTACAAAGAGCTTACATATCCCTTATATCGATCGATGTAAGATTGATTCCTTTGTCAATTTACTATCATGAACCAATTCGACCTTTTTACCATACAGAGATTCAGTTTCTGTAGAAGCAGTTATATGAGACGACGTTTAAAAAATTGCCTTAGCCGAATCAAATTTTTCATATCAATTTAAAATATCGAAAGCAGTCTGTTGTGTCAAAAATTTTGAAAAATTCATTTTTTTTCCATACAAGCTTTCGAGGCATTACACAGGACGAGGTCGAAAAAGTGTGTTAATCCAAAACATTTTCAGTAGCGTTCGTCCTTGGGTCAAACAAGTCGCTGTACCAAATTTCATCAAAATATCTCAAAAACTGTGATCTGCAGATTGAACATAAATATACATGGGCAGACATTACGCGGTTTAGATCTATTCAGAAAATGATTTTGAGTCAATCGTTATAATAAAAGCCCTGCTGGGTGCTACATACGTCACATGAACCTAATGTACCCCGTACCACAAGTGGTGTTGGGTATAATGAATCCACATACTTGACAAAATTAGTTGGCTTAGAAAGATTACTTAATATAATAATATCAAATATTTTTCGATGCTTTTACCGGTTGACGTTATAAAATTTGAAAAGAAATAAATGAATATGAAACTAGCGAGAACATTAGCGTGAACGACAAAAAGGGTTACTAAAAACTATCTAAAAATTATTTTGGAAATATGATAAATAGGACCTTTTTGGGTAGTGTATAGGCCGACAAATTTAGTATGGAATCATGGCAGTGATGAAGAAAAAAAGAACTGGAAAATTTAAATAAACCCTAATTTACTTCATTCAATTTGTTAAACTTTGTCTTACATTTTTGTTTAAAGGATTTTGAGTTTTTCACCCATTTTTCTTATAAATTTCTTGTTTCATTTATTATATATATCACCGAACCACGTGAGGTAGATTTGTTTTGTCAAAACATTTGCAACGCCCAGAGATCCCATAACCTATTTATATATATTATTAAATTTTCAATCGATGTCCCTCTGTCCGTCTGTGTAATATCTAACGAAACTATCGACTTTAAGTTTGATAGAAAGATTAGAAGCTCGGAAAGAAGATCGAAAATGGGGCAAATCGGTCAAAGGACACGCCATCACGTAAGCAACTCCGCTTTTCAAAAGGAGTAAAAAATTGACTTTTTTGTATCTGTACAAAAATTAAAAAAATTGACGTCAATTGACGCAATATTACAGTGTGTCGAAATTTAATTATGTTTTCAATATCTTTATAAGGCGCAGAAACAAGCTTTAATAACCCCATTCTTGGCCAGTTTAAAATTTGGATAGCACTAAACTGCCTTCGTAACTGCGTAGCACTTGTGGTCAACATTCTTCCGTTAGCGCAAATGAAGATATCGTCTACAAATTTGCAAAAGTGTTTGAAAGTCACTTAGACTTTTCGAAGGGAATGCCTACAACTCTCCTCCGCTTGCGCAACAAATACTTTGATTTCGGAAATGCATGAAAATTTACTTCTTGTAGTTTTTTTGTCTTCTTAGTGCGCCGGTCGTGGATATAAAATATTCGGTCACGACTGAATATAATTTTATTCTTTGTTACCCCCACCACTGAAGGATGGCGGTACGCTCATTTTGATTTTTTTCATAATGTATGTAATAGCCAAAAGGAAGGTGCGGAGACCCTATAAAGTATATATATTGTTGATCAGCGTGAAATTCTAAATTGATTAAGTCATTTCCGTCCGTCTGTGTGTTTGTGTGGTGTTTGTTGTTGGCTCTTTCCAAAAATGAAGATATCGACTTCAAATTTGATAAAAACATTGCAAGTTTTTGCACGCAGGTTGGTATTGAAAATGGGCCAAATTGGTCAGAGCAGAAACCTGCAGTCACGCCCACAACAAGTTATAATTCATTAAATATTATTTTTCTCATTTTCTTGAGGTTTTATGCTTATTTATCGTAACGCAACCAAGACGGAATGTTTACAATTATTTTATTCATTCTTTAAATGAAGATATCTCTCATTTGCCTAAAAATAGGTTAATTTTAAAATGAATACGGTAGACACCGCGATTAATTTTTTCTTAATAATACTAACGATATGGGTATCAAATAAAAAAACTTGGAGAATAGAATGCGAAAGCATGGTAGTGGGTATGCGTGATTTGTCCTCCGCCGAATATAACTTTTCTGCGTGTTTTTAATTGTTATTTTTTTCTAGCTTTAAAAATTATATGTAGGCTTTCGTGTTAATGTTGTTACGTCTACTATTTTTTTACGTCTACCGTTATTTTGTTTCCTTCCAGTATTTGCTGACGTACTCTCAAATAACTTTGACTAGCCAAAAAAAAAGCAACTTTTTTCAATTATTTATTTTTTAACTTTATAATTCAAAGCGTATAATTTTTACTGTCTGTCTCCTGAATATCACCAAACCACACCTAATTTGATGACCTATTGCTATCCAAACTATGCGTATGATATAAACAACAACAACAAAAAAAACCAAGTCATGAAAATAACTATAATATCTATCCCTTGCTGGAGGTAAGGTAGGTTTTTGAAAAACCTCGAAAGCATTTCTTGTAAGCGAAAAAGAAAGGTTTCCAATGTAGGCGTATCTTTCATTCAGGCAGAGTTGATAATTAGATTGTAATAACAATTTCGTATAATTGCCACGTTTTTTCCATATTCGTTATAATTATTTCATATCCACGGCGCATGTTGTCTTTTTTGTTTAGAAAGTGAAGTAAATCAAATGCGATTAATAAACTTTGAAGTAATAAAAGCGAAACAATAAATCTCATTATCAAAACAAAAGCGATAAACACATTAGAGGCGCAGAGAAGAGAAGAGAGCGGGCCTGAAAACCACCTCGACTCGCAGTCATATGAGAGTAATTAAATGACTACCACCAATTATCACCACGCAATTTAGGTGAACAAAAGTGAGAGACAGAGAGAATCATCAAAAATCCTAGAAATATCCTTATGTTATTTGAAAAAAACTTATCCGTGGCTTATATTAGTTGAGCATTAACTACCCAAGCAAACGGTTGCAATAAAAATAAGCATTTAAAAAGAAATATATATATATATATATATGTATATATATATATGTATTCATAAAAAAAAAAAAGGAAAAAAATTTCTGCATAAATTCATATAAATTGTGGAAAAATAAAAATTAATTAATTGTCTCATATGAAATAAAAAATAATAATAAAAACGAATAAATTCAAATAATTTTCAACGGGCGTATAGAAAACTTTTATTGAAAATTATAGAATATACAGGATAGGGACGTATACGTAACACATTTTTGTGTTAAAACCCAACGGTTTTTTTACATAAACACTTAACGACAAAACGCTTTTCTTATTTTTGTAATGCAAATGAATTAAATTCATAAAGAAAGACATCGAAAGACATAAACATATGTATATATAATTTTTTCGTCGGCAAATAAAAATATTATCGATTTGTAACATAAATCGCAAGCTGAGTCGTGTGTTAGCTTCAAAGCATTGGTCGACACCAGTGTAGGCTATGCAAAGTTAGTAAGCACGGACACGATACGAATGCAACCGACACTTTAAAGAAAAAGAAACAAAAAAAAAAAAAAAACGAAGCGTAGCATTATTTGACAAGCGTCATATAACGAGTGCAGTTACGGTTGTAAAGAGGAAAAAGCTACTGTCCTCTATCCAACAAGGACATTACGGCAAGCAATAGTATCGTTTAACCTTCACTTAATACGAGGATTTCAACCTAACAACCCATAAAATCAACTAAAATGTTGCCATGAATTTTGTACGGTGGTTCATCAATATGTTTTTATAACAATCTTTTTGAAAGATTTTTACTTCAAATTTTTAAAAAAAAAATCTCATTGAATATCTTAAATAACAACAAAAAACAGTGCCAAATATTAGCAATTAATTTTCGAATATCAAGGAATTTCGCAATTAGAAAACAAAAAAAAAAAAAACATTAAACTTTTTCAAATACACGTAAGCACAAAGGATCTTGAGCAGGAACAATAGTCTAATTATTGAAACGCACTTTAAGGTGCGTGCGTTTATCAAACGCATTCAAGTCACTAATCTTTGAATAGAACGACTTTAGCTCAAATACACAAGTCTCGCATTATTAGAAACGCTTTAAGCAGCTTTCTAGCAGTTGTCATTCTTGAGAGTAGTTGCCGCAACTATTAACAAAATTCCGCCGTTTATCGCAATATCGTTTGCGAAACTATTTCCTGGCGGTTGTAAGCGTAGCAGATTTAAACCAATGCATTTAGGTTTGAAACGTCAAAGACCAACTAAAAAACATCAAAAAAAGAGATTTTCGTTTAGTAGGAAAAGATGTCTTCATCCCGAGAATATCATCTACAGGTAAGAAGAAAACCATGCTTACAATGCACAGTCCTAATAAAATGTAAAAATGGACGTGAGGCAATAAAATTGTTCGAAATAGTAAACGATAGATGTCGATTCATATATCCGCAAAAATATTTATTAGGTGTTTGCAAAAATTTTGATCAATTTTTTTTACTTGAAAAAGGCAAATTGATACAATGTATGTATTAATCGAAATAGTTCTCATCATTTCTACATTATCTACCATGTCAAAAGAACTTAGATTGATTTGGCGGCGATGTACCCATCGACCTATTTTCACACTTCTTCAACTTTGAGGACCCGCGTGCCAGCCAAGCCATGCTGCACCGATCTGAAAAAGTGTTCATCTGGAGTAATCATGTCAAGCTAATACGCTAGCAGTATGTAAATTCCACAAATGTTCAGAACAAGAATTCATCTTTTAAGGCCTTTAACTTACGCCCAAGAGTTGAAGAATTGAAGAATTGACGGATGGTTTAATTTTCGTATTACAAGAAAATGTTTTCTATATATATATATATATGGTTGTTATATATATATATGTATTTGGTGGATAGTCAAATTCCGAATCAATCTAAATATATTGGTTGCACATAGAAAACATTTTCTTGTAATACGAAAATTAAGCATTATATATATATATATATATATATATATATATTGCCCGTGACGTTTCCTTAGGCACGATGCAAACGCTTTGAAAAAGCGGATGTGGTCCTATCATTCGGTGTTGCTAGTCACACACATTTGACCGTTTTTTTAGCGGCACCCCACAATAACAATTGATCTTTTACAGCCTACAGCTTACGCGCAAAAACCGAAGACAGACCATGACCATCGATTGAAAGAAATGCTTATCATAATTAGTGATCGTTAATGAATAAAATTGATGGGAGACCACACACCGATTCAGTCTTCCTAATATTTCCTAGCATCCGTAATTGTTAAGTTGAAAATTTCTCTTATTCTCATATAATATTTGATCCAGTGTTCAAATGCATTAACTTTCGTCGGTAACATTAATCGTACTATGTTCTTTTAACCTCTTCAAATACGTTTTCAAGTTGGAGATAGTCGCAATCGTGTCGTTATTGGGTTTTGGTTGGGCCTCAAGCACGGTTTTTGATCACATGCTCTTGCCATAGTGCATTTATTTTTCACCATCTTGAGTGGGCGATTACTTCCAGCCGCACTTTGTTGAATAGGAAATTTGCTGCAAATATAATTTATCGGTATTTAAAACTCGAAAGACAAATGTCGCCCACTGTTCAGCAAGATGTAGCTTCTAAAGCCCACAGTAACCGTATTATCTGAAACGACATATTACACGCCACCATATGAAAGTGTCTTCAAATTTATAACTATTTCTAATAAAGGGTAGCTAGAGCCATCAAGAAATTCGATACGTTTTTGATCAGATCAGTGATACCCCCGCTATGCACGTTTAATGTGTTTTTTAGTGTGCATTTATTTCATGTTCACAGAATTGTTTTTTCTTGTTTCAATGTTGATATTTCTGGTTTTTTTTTTAAAAACCTTTAAAAAGTTCCTTCAAAATTAGTTCTGAAACATAATTAAATGTAATTGTTGATGGAATTATTTTAGTTTTATACTTAAGGTAAGGAGAGGAAGAGTAAAATGTGCTCCATATGTTGCGTAAATGAAGTAAAAAAGAAAAATAACTGTTGCCGCGTTTTTCTGTACCCCACTTCCGCTGTCAGCTGGGGTGTGGTGTCAAAAGATTTTTTTTTTTAAGCCTACATTTCATGGGAAATTTGTAATTTTTGTCATAGAAGACACTTAATGTCTTCTTCGAATCGAATGACTCACAGTAAATTTACATTGACACTTACCTCTTGGATTTACGTTAGTGCCCTTGTCATAGTTTCATTTTGTTCAGCGTACATATATATATATATATAGTAGTATCGTAGTAATAGATAGCATCGTAATTTAATTACAAAAGCCGTTCCTTTCATTTATGGTTAAAGGTATTGCTGTATCTGTTGTTAGTCCGAAGTGTTTCCATGTGTTAACCAGGTCAGTTATAAGTGTTCTTGAACTTACGTATCCTTCCAAACATAATTTATAGGATATTGTCTAAAATTCTTATCACAAGTAAGCGCAAAGAAGGAACTTTTTTCCACCAAATAATCCTATCGTTCTTTCATTACTGGAGAGAGCGAACAACTGCGCAGACTCACCACTTAACATTATAGTATATAAGAAGTAGAAAGACAGAACGTAACAATATTGTGATGATTATGAAAAAAAATAAAACTAGTTTATTTCTCTCAAAGGGGTCCATTTCGTCATCATTGGTATTTTATCAATAAAATTATATATGGCTTAGCGCTCCTACGGTTACGGCATGTGGCTATCTATGTAGCACTCTTTTACAAACACGGACGCTTAAGCAAATCGTAAAGTCTTTTAGGTATTTTATAATTTAATTAGAGATTTTTTTAGAGGTTACAGATTTTTCAAAGGTCTTTGCCTTTAGGCGACTGCAGGGTGCGTAGTAAGCTACAGAGATTATTACATATTTAAGTTAAGTTTCATTCGTAATATGAGATTTCGGATGAGTAAGCAAGGCGTGTTTGTCTTGCATTAACTTTGGCTTATCAATGATATTACATAACATTTCATACTTTTGAATGGTTTTTTTAGGCATTTGCCATGTTAAGGTCGGACCAGTTGAAAGCAAAGTTGAAAGTTTTCAATTTTTTTTGCGTTATCTTGAATTCTCTTTCTTAACATTAACAGGCGCAAGCAGACGCCGAATAACGTATAACGAAAATGATATAGAATCTTATGCTTATCAAGTCTGTAACGGTCGCTGCAAAAATACCCTGTTAATTAAGCCGGTGTTACATAGCTGGACTTTCAATAAATTACCATCCGTTGAATAATTTGAGTTGAAATCAATCTTAACTTAGAAAAAAAGGAAGTGAAACTTCACGGCTTTCAGAAGTTAGACCGTGGAATACTGCAGTCTTGAAAAGCATTTCTGCTGTCCACTCGCTAGTTTTCCTGATTTGTCTCTGACTTGACGAAAACTTCCGAGATGGAGAATTTCTCAGTTCAGAAAAATTGATTTGATACATCGACGCTAATCAAAAGATCCTCCTCTTGACTCAAACAAAATTCTATAATTGCAGCCAGTGATACTGTAGCCAAAGGATTGCATAGATTCTTCCATAACTTCAAATAAGAAAACACAAGTCGCTAGCTTAGGTAGCTGGTAACAAGATACCTTCCACGTAGTAGAAATACCTATAGAGGAAACATTCCCGAAACGAAAATTCAATTTTATAGGGATAAAAGTTATTCAGCAACTTCCGATACACAAGAAATATCATACGCACCAGTTGAAAAGTGCAAAAGAACTAATCGTTGTAATGAAAGGTCCCCACAGAAGAAATATAAGGAGCATCACAATTTGAAGTAAAATCGGAATACAATATACTTAACAAGACTAAATACCACAACCACTCTTCCAAGTTAAAATCGCCTTAGAAACAATTACTTTGAAAAAACAATAGACAGCTTATGGTATGTACTGCATCGAAAAATTGCTGTAGAGCAACTGCATAAAAGTAGGAGCCAAAAGGAATATCCACCAAATGAGTTAAATAGGGCGGTGTCCACCACAGCCATACCTGTGCATCCAAGTCTCGACAAGCAGGCAAAATGTGCGGTAAAAACGGCGGCGACCGACCACTTGTCCACTGTCTGAACAAATAAAGTACTCAAGTACAAGTAAATTTAAATACATAGAAATAACGAAGAACAAGTTAGATAAAGTGTCGTTTGGCCCAGCGGTTTAAATAAAATCCCAGACTACATCGATTTCGCAGTGACAAAAAGTATTAGAACAGACCAAGCGTCGTATAGTTCGTTATTTGATCTTATTTCTGAGCAGTCTCCAAGACTTATACAAATAAATTCAATACAACAACTAATGAAAAGCAAGTCACATAAATTCCCAAATCAAAACACAAGCACGAAAAAAAGTTTTAATCCTTCAATCAAAATAGAGCGCCCGACCGAAGATCGCTATGGCCAATGGGCTCGAAACCAACTCGAAAAACGTGAGGTGTTTGCAAACATTCCGCAAATTACGGACACGCCAGCCCAAAACATTGCAATGATCACCGATACGCGAGCAATGACATAGTTTAACACGTCCCCATGGCTCAGCCCGTGATGATTTAGTCCTCATTAATAGCCTCCGAATGCGTAAGAAATCCAAGCGCAACAAAATAATAACAAATGCTTTCGTAGTGAGAGAAAAGAGAATCTTGGCAACAAGAAATTTGGATTCAGGCAATTTTATCGCCTTTTATGGGAAGTATTTGTAAATGTTCAGCACTTTTTATCGATATATCTTAAGCATTTAACAAACTGCGGCTTCAAGACTCTGCATATATTTGGCTTACGTATCTACCGCCGGAGAGATCTCAACTTGAGTAATTTTAGGATCAATTGTCTATATTTTCTACACAGGAGATATGCCAACGCTCTGCCTTACGTACGTGTAGGCACATCACGGCGCGAAGGCAAATTCAAAACCATATTACCATCCTAGAGCTTTAATGCTGTAAAATGCGTGCATGTTAGCTTTAAACCTAAAGGTCGAACGCACGCTAGCATAAAGTCACCATATGAGAGCAAATATATTGCCAAAAAAATTCAAAACGGACGAATCATATTGGCTGTTGAACTCAAATTCGACTACAAAGTCTTGCGTTCGCGGTTTCAAATCTCAATGCGGTAGAGTTCACGGTGGTCGTCGTTATAGTGACTGCTCGATTAGTAACAGCACAACACTTACCGATTGTGTACACAATCACTAGGCAGCGGCCCCTTCCGTGTCTCTTTCGTCACTTCTTGCCTGTCGTGCCTGGCTTACATGAATAGTGGACTTCCCCTAAGTGATTGGTCATACAATTAAAAAAAAGTCGAAGGCTTGATATATATAATAAAGCACATTTATATAATGTTCTTATTAAACCTGCGTGGTCCTACGAAGTTCAATTACAGGGAGCAGCTTGTTCCTTCAACAAGTTGCAAAGAAGTAAGTCAAGTATTAATAATTGACTATATTCAATAATAATATTGAGTATAATCAAATAGGGTCCTTGGTACATAACTAATTCAAATATTCACAGGCTTTTAAATATTTCGGTCCTAACTGATCGGATAAGGAAGGTGCTGTCAGATATGTTACTGAAGCCCTAAGCCATTTCTTCCTAATGCCAAGTATTTAAAGAGTAGTAAAGAAAAAAGCAAGTAAGAAAATTATATTGGGTCGTGACCGAATCTTTTATATCCTTCCCGTGATCCTAAAACAAGAGGGCAAGGAGTACGTTTCCATCTCTGCAATATTCGTTGAACGTGGGTGATTTTTTCTATTTTCAGAGTGAAAGTGAAAATTTATACGATGTTTGTACTTTAAGAGTTCAAAATTTCGTAGAAATCTTGCTGAATTTATATATATACAGTCAGGTCTTCTCTCTTACAAGTCACCACTAAATTTTCAAATGCGTGACTGCAAAATTCTTATGATCCGTCTGTTTGCCTGCGTAATGCCTGTTGTAAGCATTCTTCTGGATGCAAAAACGAAGCTAACGGCTTCAAACTTTAGACGCTCTTGCATGCAGTTTGATATTGAAAATCGGTAAAAGGACATACCTATACTCCTACGTGAAGTGAGAACGCCTCTCTTTTTCAAAAGGAATCTTGCTCATTACTCATAAACTATAACAGATAAAATTACAAAAATTTACAAGTTTACGAGTGGACGATGTTCTGGTATCTCTACAAAAACAGAAAAAATTGATACCGCGTACCCAATATTAAATCAAAATTTAATTTTTTTTTTTTTTTTTTTTTTATTTCTTTATGACGCGCAGAGAGAACCTACAAGTTCCGAATGCATGTAAGCATGTTCGTTCGTTCATCTGTTCACTTGTCCGTCTGCCCAACTATGTAGTATCCGTGGTAAAGACCCTCTCATTCGCAAAAATGCGCATATCGCCTACAAATTTGCAAAAAAATTTGAAAAAAATTCAAACCAATCAAAACATTCGCCATTAACACGCCCTCACGCCTATATTACAAAAATTGTGAACTATGTAAATATCTCCGCCTTTTCGCCTGTCTACCTCTTCGTCTGCCTAACTATGTACTATTTTTGGTAAACACTTTACCGTTAGCAAAAGAATTTTGAAAGTGACTTCAACTTTTCCGAGGACACGCTTATATCGTCTGCACGCGTCTGTGACATAAACACTTTTTTTGAACAAAAAAAAATCAGCCGCGCCCACTTCATTTTATAGACCATGAAAATTTAGTTCTTCCACTTTTTTGTCTTTTTTACGGTAACGATGCTGCGTATGAGAGACGACCGAATATAATTTTCTTACTTATGTATATTCTTCTTATTTTTTGCATATGTGACGTATACAGACCTAATATTGAATAAATAAATCGCACTGTTAAAATGAATTCTGTTTCCTTTTTTTCTTTGTGTATTTGTATTTCGCAATGTAACAGCAATAACAGCAACACTATCCTTTAACTACATATGTTCTTTCGTTCGGTAAAATATTTTGTGCTTATATATATATATGGCAGCATGAAAGATATTAATATACTCACAATTTTCGCAAATTATCTACGGTTTAAAGATACGTTGAACCATTGAATTCCACTAGAATCGCAAGTTTTTTAAAAATAATTCTTATTCTTATGTTTTTCTTTCTTATAAGAAAAGCAACCGATCGAAGTCAGAGCTAAGCACGAACGTGCATTGACGAAAAGCTTATCCACAACCAATTTCATTCTTTATGACCTCCGGATCTAGTTATCGAAATTAATATATCACTACAAGGTTGCAAAAGTAACAAATTTTTCAATCTTCATGCGGACGGCCATTTGGTACCCGCGTCCGCTTTTCCCATTTATGTATTTTCACAATTAGCTCGCTCTGGTGGGGATTGTACTTGTAGCAAGATGTTTACACAATGTGTTAAGGGCAAGTTGTCGACGTTTCAGTGGGTGGCAGGTAAACGTATGTGACACTTTGCGTTCCGAGATAATGATTAGCCTTATTGACATCCAAATATACTAATGATGAGCCATCGCCAAAGGCGTTCAAACAAATCACTCACTGGGCAAATGTACCACACCTGCCTCCTACATTGTCCTGCTATTATAACTAGTGGGCAAACACATTAAAAACCTAACAAATCCCAGGGCAGTTAACTCAATTCTACGTAATGACAGAAGTAAGGTGACATCATTTACAACTTTATTAACCCATTCGCTAGCAGGATCACTTGAAAAAACATTCACCACAGCTCTGTTTTTCTAACCCGTGCAAATATGCCGGGCTGCGCTAAGAAGCAGCTGTTGGCGGTCTGCAGCGACGGTGGATTTGCTTACACAATCGAAGGCTTTTTATCAGTCAATCAAATTGCTATTAGTTTGCATCCCCTAAAGAAATTATGAAATAAAAAAGTGAATTTTTTTCTTTATTTAAGCGTTACAACAAATACTTATTATGTCAATAATCACAACCATCTTATGCGTGCAGATGATTTTTGTCTATTTATTTTATTTCAATATAAGGAATGATTTTGAAACATGCGATAATCGAATAAAAAAAGAAGAAAGTTAAATTCGGTCGGAGCCGAATCTTTTATACCCATCACCGTTGTCGTAAAAAAGGCAAAAAAAGTAAGAGAACAAAATATTCATGCTCTTTAATATAGAGTGGGCGCGCTTGATTTTTCAAAATAAAAGACTTTGTGGTATAGGAATGGGGATGTTGTAGGCGTGTACTTTGAAAAGTTTAGGTCAATTCCCCATTCTTTTGCAAATTTGTAAGTGATGTCTTCATTTTCGCTAACGGGTGTATGTTTATCAAAAATACGGTAAAGTTGCGCAAACAGGCAGGCGGACAGACGAGTAAGCGGACATGTTTAGGCGCATTCCGGATTTAAAACTGGCCAAGAATTTATATACTTTATAGGATTTTTGAAGCTTGTTTCTGCGCGTTATAAAGGCAATGAAAAAACAATTGAATTATGATGCACTATAATGTTGAGTAGGCGTGGTCAATGTTTTCCATTTTTGTATATAAAAACTTTCAAATGTTTGTACATTTATTTGCTATAGTTTCTTTTGAAAAACAGAGGTTTTCTCAGTTTACAAGGTGATGCCGGCGTGTCGTTCGACCGATTTGCCCCATTTTCAATACCAGTGTGCTCGCGAGAATTTCCAAAATATTAAGTCGACAGCTTCATCTTTGCGACAAGGAGAATATCTACGAGAGGCATTGCACAGACGGACAGAGGGACGTGATTAAATCAATTTAGAATTTTATGCTGACCAAGAATATATATGCTTTGTGGTGTCTCTGATGTTTCCTTCCTTCCTGTTCCAAATGTTTTGAAAAACGAATATATCCGTCATCCTTCGATGATGGGTTTAGAAGCAGATAACGAAATCGCATGGCTGCGAGACAGCCACCAATAGACAATAAAAAAAAAAATAAATAAATTGACGTCAATTAAATAAAATAATTGTATAAACATGCACTTGTCGAATTTCTTTTCTGTCATCCGTTTAAAAACTTCTTGATAGCTTTTGCTATAGTAATTCCTTATTTGATGTAATAATTCAACTGCAACGTTGTTTACGCTGATTCTGTCTTACTTTTATTGTCTTTTTGTTTATTGTTTGTAGGCTATTGTGCAAATTACAAACTGTACCCCATTCAAAGAATGTTTATGTTTTCTGTTTTCAAAGTCAAGAAGGAACATAACCTTGAAATAAGTTGATTGTAGAAATTTTCCTGGCGTCTTTACGAGCAAGTGAAAAAAAAATTTTAGAATAGTAAAAAACATTTTTTGAACACAATATGTTTTCACAAGAAATTAAATTCGATCTTAAATTTTCATTTTGTTTTTAGGATTCACGGGGATCGGTGTACTGCGCGAGTGAACCGGACCCAATTGGTCGAATCCAGTACCAGCCGGGAGGGTTCATTCGCTCCTACAACAGTATTGATCAGCAATCTGCTAATAGCAGAAGCTATTCCCGTGAAAGTGAAGGCAATTCCACCGAGATCATTGAGGTCATTTGTGAAGCGCATTTTAACGCTGAACAAAACGATATTGGCGAATTGCCCATTGTCGCCTGTTCTCAACCACCAGCACCCTCTATACTTACGGAATGTCAACAATCTAGTGGCTCGCTGTTCTCAATTGTCTCGGCACCGCCGGTTCCATTGGCTGAATTGGATGTTAAACAAGTTGATAACTTGGGCGCTGGTTTGCAATCGGGTATTGGCATGGCCTTGCAAATGGGCGGTAGCGCCCAGAATCCTTTCATTAGCACCCACTCAGCGGTGTCAATCGAAGTACCGGCATCTGCACCTGGCTCCGCGACATCAACTATACCACGACGCCCTTCTACTCTCCCCATCGAAGCACCTTACGGACCGGCAGCACCGTCAACTGGACGCACATTGCACGCCAGCCTTTTGGAGCACCAGATCTCGGAAATCGAAGAGGACGATAATGAAAACTTATTAACCGTATCCAGCATTACAGCTCGTCCATTAATTGCCAAATCACATGAATTGCGTTCAAGTCGGAATTTAAACTGCTTAGAGAGCAACAAACGCGGTAAATGTGGACGCAAACTATCGGCTGGGGTTAGGCATGGTTTAACCTCTCAGGCTGCGAAGCACTCCGGAGTAACTGCTCCTTCTTCACGTTCCTCTGTGAGCACAGATCCACCGGACGGTGGATACGGTTGGTTTATTGTGTTTGGAGCATTTTCAGTCCAATTTTGGGTAGCTGGCTTAGTCAAATCATATGGGGTCTTATTTGTCGAAATTATGGAAACTTTCCCTAGTTCAACAGCGACTGTAGCTTCTTGGATACCAGCTATATTATCGGCTCTTTGCCTAGCTTTGGCACCTGTTTCTAGTGCGTTATGTCAACGCTTTTCGTGTCGAACGGTCGTCTTCGTTGGTGGTCTATTTTGCGCACTAGGCATGACGCTTAGCTATTTCGCTACCAGTCTTGTGCATCTACTCTTCACTTTTGGTATATTAACGGGAATTGGTGGCGGTCTTTCCACCACTCCCGGCATTGTTATAGTTTCGAAATATTTCGATAAACACCGAGCTTTAGCAAATGGCATTTGTGTCTCAGGCACCGCAGCTGGAAGCTTTATGTTACCAGTTTTAATTAAACATTTGGCAGAAAATTTTGGATTCCATGGCACTATACTCATTTTAGGTTTTTGCATGTTGGATGTGTGCTTATCTGCGCTACTGTACAGGCCAGTAGAATCTCAGAATCAAGACGAAGAAAAAACTATAGCGGAGGAAGACGAAGAGGATGATAATGAGGCAAATAAACCATTGGATGATATCAATCCTAGCAATATTGATATGCTAACGAATTCCACCTATTTAGATACTTGCGACGATGGTTTAAATACCAAATTTATAGAACATCTCTTCATGGAGGAATCTAAAAATCGTTTAAACGAATATTATAATTTAAAGAATAGTGGTAAGTTGGAAAGTGTAAGCGAAATTATTTTTTATTAATTATTATTTATTAATATATTGTACTTGCAGCTACTGAAAAATCTGTTCCTAGTTGTGCTCAAGACAGCGACGACGAAATTAAGGACACTATAGGAGAGACTACATTTATTAAACCCATTAAAAAGGTGCGCAGCTCCGGCATAATGCATTCGGTAGAGGATCTGAGCACTAACTCAACTTGGGTTTACCGCAAGAACTCCGGTACAGATTCAAATAGAGGTTCCCGTCGTAAACGTAACGTTTTCGCCAATGATGAAATTATCTCGAAGATTCAAGCGCATTTGGAAAAACCCTTGTCTCCACCCACTGTGGTTATCAAGGGTCTTAGTAAAAGTATGGATATACCTACACCAGTTACTAACACGAGTGAATTGAAGCAATCAGAAGGGGAGCAAAAAGAGAGCATGTTGCGAATAAATGCCATAGAAGAGGAAGAAGAAGATGACATTGACGAGCAACCAATGACGTGTTATGAACGAGTGGAAATTTATTTGGACATAAGCTTGTTAAAAGATCCTACTTTTATACTAATGTGCTTATCAGTTACGTTGATGTCGGTGGGCTGCCCATATATGTTGTATTATTTACCAGCCCATGTTATATCAATTGGTAAATTCTATCATTGTTTAATCCAGACCAGAGCTATTTACACCATAAGCGGTGTTCTATTCCAGGTTATAATAAAAGTGAAGCCGGTTATTTAGTTACAATAAGTGCAGTTTTGGATTTAGTTGGCCGTTTAGGTTTGGGTTGGCTTTCCGATTTGCAACTATTCGATCGCCGAAAGACCTACATAGTCTGGTAAGCGAATATAAGCTTAACATGAAAAAAAAAAAAATAATTTTTTTAATTTCGGGGTTTAGCATATTGGGCGCCGGTTTGGCTGTGCTCACTATACCCTCCGAAGACACTATTTATTTAGTAGGTCTATCAGCTGCTATTTATGGTTTTTGCTTAGGTAGCTGGTACGTTTTGATGCCTGTTTTGCTGGCGGACATTTTTGGCACAGATCGCATTAGTTCAAGTTACGGCCTGGTACGTATGTTCCAGAGTGTAGGTGCCATTTCAGTGCCACCTCTGGCCGGTTTCCTACGTGACCTCTCCGGTAAGTATTCCATCGTATTCTACTGTATGGGTTCTTGTATGGTGCTTGGTACAGTACCATTACTGGTGTGGGCACTATTAGAATATCGTGAGCGTCAATTTTATAAAAATCGTGGTGACAGTGACGATACCTCATCAGTATCCTAGGCGATATAAACTAATAAATAAATAGCTTATCCTAGTTGAAACTCATCATAGTTTCAATAGCTTACGTAAATTTAATCAATTAATTTGCTCGAATTTTTCAATTAGGTGTTCCTTAGAAAGTTGGATAAAATGAAATAGATGATATAAGTGAAGTAAAAAAAATTGAAAAATCTTTTGCCTTTTTGATTTCAAAAGAGGTCTTCAAATTAAATTGATATTAAATAAAACGCAGTAATTCATTATTCTAAAGCTTGTCATTTTTAATTATTTATTTTTATTTTTTATTTTTTTTTGTTATTGGTTAAGTTCATTATACCCTTTTATCTTCTTTTACTTTCTTTTTGTGTTCTCTTAATCATTTTTTGTACATAAGTTAGTGAACAATCTTACAAAGCAAAGAAATAATCACACACAAAAGCACTGAAGATGCGCAAAAGAACTGAGTTAAAAAAAAAAAAAGCTTTACAACTACTACAACAAATTTAAATAATCAATCACAAGAATAATGCATCCGAATGAAGAAATCGTTCTTACATGTTTTTTAACCTAATAAATATAATCATCATATTAACGCCCATATTATAATCAAATCATGTATGAAAAATTTCAAATTACAGCAGAATGCATTTTTAGAGAATGCTTTAAGGTATGTCGGAATTGTAATTGTTTTTACTAATTAAGGATAACAAAATTCACTAAATATTACATTATATATGTATATAAGTACCTACATGCATACATATACATATTCATAAATACATATGTAGAAGTCATTACAATATTAAAAAATGATTAACAACCAAACTGAAATAAACATTAATAATGATAAAAATAAAAAATAAAAAAAAAATAAAATTGTATTATTTAAAACGAATCTTAAGTTCATTTTTCTCACGACGATTAGGAGGCTAATCATGTAAGCAGGCAATAGGCTGCAGCAAGCAAAGTTTGCTGCAACTGCAAGCGCCAAATCCGCGCCAAAGTTACTGTCGCTGAGAACAAACTTGGATTAGTATTGAGTATAAATCACGAAAATTTTCTTTACAATCGCTTTGGTACAAAAAAGGACTGGAAAAGAAAAATTAAAGTATACCTGAACATATACTTCCTTCCTTTCCTGCAGCTGCTAGAAATTGAATTATTTTTTATTTTTATATTAAAGTGTGATTGAAATTAAAACACGGGCACATTGATATATTTAGCAAAATTTCCGTGTTATAGGTCGGAATTCAAATCTTAAAAAAAAAGAAGATAACTATGGCTTCAGATGAAGACAATTCGAAAGTGTGAGGTTTCCGCAACAAGGTAAGGTTGTCGCTTGGGGAGTTCATCGCAGAAAGGAAAAAACCTTTGATTTCGTTTCAAAATAGGACACAATTTATTTCGTGAGATTTCATTAAAACACTATTTTATTGATGCACAATATAACAAAAGAACTTAATAACAAGATCACTTTACGAACACTTGATAAGGAGTAAATTAGCGAATTTATCTAATTAGGAGTTTAAATTAATTAAGTAAAACTTATTTGCATGATATTAATTAATTAGTCACGATTTTAGAATTTTTCAGCTGGCGGACCGTATTCGGCGGCGGGAGCTGATGGTGGGCCGTATTGTTGCGCGGGCGTCTGACGTTGCTTATATTTGATGAAATAAACTTCCGGTTTGCTGGGTTCAGTTGGCTGTGGTGTTGGCAAAACTAAAGGTTGTTGTTCTTCCGGCTTCTTCACTAAAACATAGACTAATGTCTTGTGCTCATCCTGCACGGGCGGTGGCACGACTTGACGGTAAGGGGCAGGTGGACTTGGTGCCTTTATAAATATAATCTTATAATGTTTTTTTGGCACTGCAGTTTGCAGTGGCGCAGCTAATTGATAAACTTCATGGTCTTCGGGCGGTACGTGAACGTATACGTTTTTAGTAACTATTGCTTCGGCGCCAGGAGGTCCATAAAATGGCGCCGGAGTTCCATAAATAGGCAATGGTGGAGATGGATGTGCCGCTGAATTTGCACTGGGAGGCAAGTATTCCTTCTGCGGTGCTGGTAGCGGTGGTCCGTATTGAGGTTTTGGCGGTTCCGGTCTTGCTGCTGACAAAGTCAGAAAACAGACAAACACTACAAAGCGTTTCATCGTCTAAAACAATAAGTCGTAGCAATCGTTAGCAATCTTAACACTTTAACGTTCGGCACTAATTTAACGTGTGCACCCGGGTCACTGACAGTTTTTATATCGCAACGGAAGTAAACGACTACTAAGTTACTGTCATTTATATAAGTTATATGCGCCGCAATTTGATTGAACTTCTCTTTTCATTTTCATTACACTTGCATGGAAATCAATTTTCGATTTTTTGTTTCATTTTTGCATAATTTTTTTTTAAAATCACACAAACACCAACTGTGCTCATATGTGGTTACTTACGATTACGAATAAGACGTGTTATACATTTTAATTGAACACAAACAATTAAGTAGCCACAATCTTTTTAGATGGAATACAAACATTACCAGGCTATCACAATTCCCGACATTTTCATTTTTGCGAGTACACTGTTGCCAAAAATGTATCCGATTTGTGTTTATATTATATTACAACACAGTAACCATTTTTATATAGGCATTTATTTTTATTTTCATATTTAACTTACAGCGAAATTCTTACACATAATCAACATATATCTCTGGGTTGGCCAACTTTTGTGACGGATTTGCGGACTACGTTTGTCTTAAAGACTTGCGGTGGTCTTTTGGTATTTGTCAATACTAGTTTTAACCTATTGCTTTTATGCACCGCTGGATGAGGAAGTGTCTCCGTCCTTCCGCTTGCTCGCCTATGTAAGGTTTTTGGTAAACACTGTCCTGTTTTAACGAAAATATCTTCAAATTAAGGAAAACGTTGGAAATTTTTGCGCTAGTATGGAAAATGGGCACTTGTAGTGTACAATATAAACCGAGAATGGCTCCAAAAGAAAAAAAAAAATGTATACTTGTAAATGTACTGTACAAAAATAAATAATGTTATTACTCATGTCATAGCACTCTTTACATATGTATGTACGTATGTATTTAAACGTTATTACCATTTTGTGTTTCAATTACCAATTATTTCTTATATCCTTTATGATCGTAATAAAAGTGTGTGAGAGTTTGGGAAACTCTGCTTCAAATTAGTTCAATATTCACTACACCGAAAATTGTATTGACGAATGACTCTTATCAAAGTTCGTCTAAGGCCGGGGTCGGCAACCTATGACCCGTAGGTTACGATAGCCCATTTGTTAATTTCAAGTAACCCATCTTAGTTCCAAAAATAAAGTATAATGTATAAGGGCAACAAACATTTTGAGAATAAAAAAAGTTGAAAGTAAATATTAAGGAAAACATTTTAGTTCGATTGCCATGGATCTTAATTCTCGGAATAAAGCCCGAAGAAAGAGAAGAAAATGTTTTCAATTTGCAGTACTTTCAATACCAAAAAATTGACAAAAAGATTTGGAAAAGACAGAAGATAATCATATTCTCGTGGTATCAATATGCTGGGTATCACATCCTGCGAAGTTTTTGGCCACATTCAGTTCAACTTATAAATGTGAGCAAATATATTTATTAATGAAGTTTTCATTAAGCAAGAACAGAAACAGATTTCTAGAGAGTTGAACAATCCCTAGAAACCAGGAGCCTCAATTGCAGCTGGAAAAATCAGTTATATTTATTGTGTATGGCCCCCAGATATATATATATTGTATAAACCCACTCTGGGGAATATTGACGCCTATCGTTACCTCTTTAATTATTCGCTTTAGAAATGATGGCAACCACAGCCACCACGATACTCCCAGAAGAGTCGTACCCAGCAGCCAGGACTAGCCATCACAACTACCAGGTCCCATTCCCAGGAAATTCCTCGACAGTAGAGATAGACAGCAAATGGGCTCCTCCTTCCCGTGGAGCTTCAATTTAGTTTATGAAGCCCTTAGCCTTACTTTAGGCGACATAGTCATTGCAAGAATAGGAACAAGTTAACTATCGAAAATGCAGGTACTTGAAACCAGACTTGACTAAATTGACGTCACAAGTTCAACATCCGAGTAAGCCAATGATATCGAAGAGAACGTTTGTAAATAAAGTTCATTCAACTATGTTTGCAATGATTTACTTAATAAAATATATCTTGATCCAAACGTCTCTTTAACACTTTGACTTTTCTCTTTTGGTTGATATTGATCCGCGGTGAAAAGAGGTTGCCGACCTCTGGTCTATGGTATGTATAAAAGCAATAAACACTATTTAGATATACTCACTATTAAAACCGACGTCGCTTAATGTAGATCACCTGTATATGTAACTCCTAATAAGAAAAGTAAGATTTTATATTTCGGCGTCCAGCTAAGAAATGATAACAACAACAGCAAAATCGTGTTTAGCATGAAAAGTCTGGCGTTTTTTACAGTTTCTCTTTAAGCGAATTCGTTGTATTTCATAATAAATGATCAATCACATTACCTATCCCACATAGCATACACTTGAAATACCGCAGACCACGTAAAGACAATAATTTTTTAGGGTCAAGCACGTTTGTTTGTTCATATATTTGGGGATGGGAACTTTTTATTGAAATCACATATATTGGACATTAATCACTACAATCAAAAAAACGAAATAGTTATGTAATAGCAATCGAATACCACCTTTAGTTTATTCAGTTTGTTTGGGTTAGGGTCAGTACTTGTATGGGCTGCTACAACTTATACGTTTTTGAGAAAATCGAAATAGAAGGAACGAACACTGCTTACCCGCAACCCACAATAAATAGTTAAAAAACTCAGTGAAGGAATTTTTGGATTTCCAGTCACTTAGCTTACAACATCAGGATATATGATAATTTAATCGATTCATAATAACTACACTTTTAAAGAAAATATGTTTGCCTGTTCGGAGAAAAAAGTAAAGCGAAGATTTTCCTTCTTTGAGAAGTACCAGCAGCAGTCTTCTTTTAAGGGTGAGGCGGGAGAAAGGAAAGAGTGATTGGTAAAGAGCGCTTGGTAGGGAAGGGGGAAGGAGAACGGAATACGCACCCATAGAAGTCTCCTTTTTAGGGATGGGGCGAGCGAAAGGGAAGAGTGAAAGGCTAAGAGGTTGCGGGGGAAGGATAAAGGAATACGCAGAAATTTCTGCTTTCACAGAACACATGTATCCCCACTAGCAGATATAAGGAAGACATTCCAAAATATTTCTGAATTTATAAGTGTAATTTCTTCCTTCCGTCCTTCCTGCAGTTAGTTTAATCATAAATGAAATGTTTAACTCTTTTACAAAAACTTCTCAATATATCAATGAACTATTGAGCCCCTTTTTTTTTTTTAAATCGCACTCATGCTCTTACTTTGTGTCCATTGTCTAAAGAGCTAAAAATATTCATGGATAACGTTCAAACAAATGTATTTGTTGACTGTTGTTAATCATAAAATGAAAGTATCAAAAAAGACACCAATAAATGCACTTGAAAAAAAAAAAAAGAATTACTAAGCACACGTACACTTACTCAACTATCAAGCCCCCCGCAAGGCACAGTGTATTTATATATTTAATTTAGTATGTGAGCACATTTGGGGCTATGAAGAAGCGAACAAAACTAAATAAATTGAAATTTGCTAAGTGAGAGCACGAAGAGATTGACGTGTGGTAAATGAGCGGAAAGAGAAAACAAAGAAATCGGTACTAGTACCGATTAAGCAAACACTTACATAAATTCTCTCTCTTTCCCTTCATTAGTAAAAGTTAAACTAATCAGCGGAATAAGCCAAGTGATCATATTTAGTGAGCGAAATTTCCGCAATTCAATAAGTTAGGGTTTTACGTTGAATATTGTTCGGTAATATAATTAAGTGTAATTAAAAAAAAAAAAAAAAAAAAAAATTAACATTTTCAAAATACTTCTGTAAAATTGCCTAGAAAATATGAATTGGCGTAAAAACTTTAATAAGAAACCTGATAGTGATCTGAATATGCATAGTTTAGTGAAACAAGATCCTCGCACAAAAGTGAAAACTACTAGTGCTCAAACGGAAACCACTAATACCACTACACATAATGCTACGATTTTTAATAATAAAACAGTTACTTTTCAAACCACCAAACAAACAATTACAAATACACAAAACGCACGCATTACGGAGATATCTACGCGCCGAACCCCTACACCAGAGGAACTAGAAGAAATGATGCGTACTTTGCATTTGCAGAAAAAGTCAGAAACACGAACTTTTACTACATCTGCTTCCGTCCCAAAAACTAATTCGCGACGTGCTCGACCTAACAATCTCACAACTATTCCTAATTTATCGGCGAAGAGTTCGACAAAATTTAAAAGTTCTGCGTCACCGGTGTCGCGACTTATCTTTAATTATGAGTCATCAACAGACGATACTCATTCGAAAAGCCATAAAACACCAACATTAGTTAGAACGGAGGAAACAACAGTAACGCAGAAAAATGGTCGAACATTTACCCAACATGTAGAAAAGAAACATATCAAATTTAAGTTCCCCTCACCGAACTCTCCGCTAAATCGATCTAATTATACGGGAGAGGATGGTTATAAATTCAGCAACGATGCCAAAGCTGTTTTGCCGCCCACTACTTATAGTCCGGGCATGACGACAAATACGTATACCTCGCCGTATACTCAAAGAAATATTGCTTCCTTTACAAAACCCATTTCAACTATTCCTAAAACAATGACAACATCGACAGCAACAAGAACGACACCAAGCACTAAAAGTAGTAATAGTAGTAATAGTTTTAATTTCAGTAAAATGCCGTCCGCCTTAACAGAACCTGTGGGATCTTTAAAACTTGGCACCGTAAACACATCTACTCCTAATGTTATGGCTAGCGGTAAAACATTAACTACACCGCCGTTAAAGCCGGGCTATGCGTACATTTTTAATAATTTTGTTTTCGACAATCCTAATAATGAGGAACGCGTGGGAAGTGCCGAGGATGTGAAAGCGCTGCAAGACACATTTGAATATTTCAAATTAAAAGTCACTGTTATCGATAACGCTAAAGTTAACAAGATACGTAAGACTGTGGAAAAAGGTGAGCAGTGTACGACTTGGCGTAAAAAGCAAAGAGAAAGAGGATAGAAAAACGAAAATTTCACTAGAAGCTAGAAAAACAGGTGTACAAGATTGTCGACTCTAGTTATTGCCGACAGAGTAATCAAAGAACAAATATTTCCGCGTTCTTCCGACCTCCTATTGCGCAAATTTCAAGGCGATATTGATAGGCCAAGTAATCTTTCAATTTCTTTCAACTGATCATAGGCCATAGGCGAATACATGAAGATCGTCGACATGTGAACGACTTGATCAAGATCATATTCATAAAGTGCTCCTAACCTCCTTTACCACTGAGTAAACTGATCCACAATCTGTGTGCACTGATCAAGTATCCACAATAGCATTAGTTTGTCTGCGTTCGGTAGTTCATATAAAAATAATTCAAATCTACTGCAAATGTTAACCAAATTAAATTAGAAGATGTAAAACTCTTTGAAACAAGTCAACAAACACCCTATAAGCGGACTTGAGAAAACCGATATAGTATAAAACAAAACAACCAAGGAGAACATTGAAATTGCGTTTTCCAAAGAAAGCATTTCTCAGTAGTTACTTGACGCTTATAAACTAGTTCTCTTATTGATGTTAAACTGTTTTGACATCTGCTGTGCTTGAAAGTAACCTAAGCACCTAGGTTTGTTATAATTCTTTCGTTGTTTTCAATCGTTTATAGAATTCTATATTTATTTTGCTAATAAAAAAATATTAACTGTTTCTAGTTATCTTATCAAGGTATACGAGCTAATTAAATAAACAGTAAAAAAAAAAAAAAAAAAAAAAAAAAAAAAAAAAATTATTTTTAACTTTCATTCCATATGGTAACTAATACAGTTTTTATATTCTATATATTTCTATATATCAAGTTCAAAATAAAGATTTTAGTGGTTATGCTTGCTTAATTATTGTGATACTTAGTCATGGTTCACGTCATGAAGAGATTGCCGCCAAAGATGGTCACTACTCGATAGATGATGATATGTTATTTCCTATATTAAAAAATCGTTCTCTCAACGATAAACCGAAATTATTTTTCATACAAGCTTGCAAAGGTTCTATGGAAACTTTGGGTCAATATAAGGACGCTGTACCTTTTCAAGCCGTTGGTAATGCTAGTGAAATTCTAAAATGTTACAGCACTTTTGAAGGTATAATGAAGGACTTTATTGTGAATCATTATAAATTTTTTTAAACAAAAAATTTCATTTCAAATAGGATTTGTGTCTTATCGCTCTGACAAAGGTTCAATATTTATACAAACTTTATGTCAAAATCTTAAATTATTTGGTTGCACTAAAAACATTAAAGACATTATGGAACTGGTGACGCAAATTGTTAAACAACAGTCACAGTGAGTTATATTTTCATTATATCAATCTCATTAACCGCATACTAAAATTAAATATATATAATATGTATATTCCAGAAGTAAGCAAATACCGGCCTATACAAGCACCCTCACGAAACCTTTTGTGTTTGGCGATTACGTGAAATGGGTTCAGTAGAGCAAAAATTAACCTCTTCACCAAAACTTATTTGGATTAATTCGCATTTATATTTGGCATTTGGTTGATGGGACAGACAAAAATTTTACATTAAATAATACTGAAGTACTATTAAGGAAATCTTTTTTTTTTTTTTCTATTTATCGCTTATAAGTTTTTATTAAAATCGAAAAGGCATTCGCTGCCTAATTTCTTTATAGATAATTAAAAATATAATTATAAAAATAAATGGTTAGCAAAGTAATGTTTAATCGTTTGTGACCAACAACAGACAATGACTACAAGGGGACTATTTTGAATGGAGAAAGAAAGCCATTTGTCATATATGTAGCACTTCACATCACTCTTGTGTTCCCTTCCACCAAGACATGTGTCAGTAAATCTGTCATTAAGACAGGAGCTGTCCTTATGATCTCCTTTGTCATAGTGCGTGGAAAGTTGCAAAGCAAAAACTTCCTCCAAAGAATATTGCAGTGTACTTATATAAGTTTTCTTTATAAACATATGTTTTTAAAATAAATTTTTTTTTTGAAAATCGAATTATTTCTATTTGAAAATACTTAAATTTTTAATTGAGAAAATCCACGATCAGTTCCGAAAATAAAAAAAAAATAAAGCAAATAACACTGCGGTGCAAATATTACGAGGGTCTGCACCCTTATAATCCGGGGTAATTCGTCGGATTCCAAGGGTCATCTCATAAGATTTTATCTGTGTCTTTACTGTACAACCTTTCGTTAGATAATATAACTTTTTTTCTTTTGTTTAGAGTTTTATATATATGTCATATAACATATAAGAAATTTGGGTTAAATATATTGTAGCTAAGGCACTTCATAGGCAATTCATGTGAAATTCTTTGTATGCTTTATGTTAACTCGTTGTCGCAAGAGATTTTTACATTATCTCTGGTTACATTTCTAAGCCTCAATCGAAGTTAAAACTAAGTCAGAACGTACATCTTTCCTTTGGATCACGCGAGAATCAACTCTTCCTTTTTTTTAACGAAAGACGCTTTTATTGTAAATTCCCACTTAAAGGACGCCGTTGACAATCTTAACCACTGCCCATCGTCAGTCACTGTATTCTTACTACTACATATCTAACTTAAATACTAGCATATCCTTCCGGGTGATATGTAAGGGCAAAGCGAGCTGGCGACTTTGCCTCCTCACAGTATTTATGGATATTATTGCTCAGCTCAGTAGGTGCATTGTCTAAGCGTTTTGAAACATAAGCAATTTTAAAACATGAAGGAGTTCTCGTAGCAGAGACTTAATCGTAATCGTAAAGGGTCCCACGTCGACTCGTATACAAAAATCTTTGACTATTCGGATATTTTCTACTGTTCGGAGGAGGCAAAGTCGCCAACTCGTTTTGCCCTTACATATCTCCCGCTCGGGAGGAGATGCTGGTATTGAAGTTAGATAGGATATTATCGGTAATATGCCATACATTTCTACATATGTACATATACTATCCGACAATATGGCATACATTCGTTATGCGTGAAGAAACTGTAAATATCTGGCAACTTAATATAACATCTTCTTTCTTTAGCCCGGCATTCCGGAATTTGGCTGATCTTAAAAACAACAAACATTACAATATTGATTAAATTACTAAAACTTTTCAAGTTTCTTATGACACAATCGGTAAATCTTCAATTTTCCTCTTACCATGGTTGGCTTGTTTCGGTCAAACAGCGTCATTTCGCTAAAGCTTTCTTTAAACGTCTTTCTTTCTGTTCATTTTGGAAATAGCTTTTGTTGCTTAAAACCAAAAAAAATCTAATTAAAAATTGATAATAAAGTATTTGCATCCTTCGGACGTGGATTAATTAAAAAAAGAAAGTAATACGGTCGAACTAAAGGTCAAGTTTCCAAGTTCTATGTGATTTCAGCTTGCCTTTGTTTATATTTAGATGATAAGGTTTTCAATCCTTTTGGGCGACATGTGCAATGCTCAATGGTTATTGTACGCCGATAAATCCGGTCATAACCATTTTTCCAAAGTACTTATGCCTCAGGCATATATTTACGTAATTAAGCTTTTGATTTATTATAATTAGCTATTAAATGGCATATATTCAGTCCTGAGGGATATATGTTTGTATGTTAAATTATTGTTTAGACAAATCCTTGTAAGTAAGTTTAAGCTTTAGTTCTTTTAGCTTTATCTTCGACTAGTATTCTGTAAAGAAGTTTATCTAATAAATGAAACGAAGTGAAGACTACATTTTCGTAGTCATCAACAACTTTAAGACCGCTTTATCGTTCGTAATTATTATCAAAGGGCAAATTATTTATCGTTCGCAATTGTTAACAAAGGATTTCATCGAGGCATTTTCCCACTTGCTCAGCATTTCGAAACCAGTAATCGGAAGGCGCTATGCCTGATAAGCACGCTGGGGCGGTAGAACATTCCATTCGAGCTGCGACAGTGCACCATTGAAAATGCTTGCAACGTGTGGCTGAGCGTTGTGATGCAAGAGGATCCGCTAATGGTAGTGTTCTTTTCCAACCATACGACGTTGAATTTGTCGTCGATAGACATCTGCAGTAAAAGTTTCATTCGGGTTTAGTAGCTTCTAATACACTACACCTGGTTGATCCCAACATATGCACAACGAAACTTTATGACCATAAAGTGATGTCGATGTCGATGGCTCTCCTGGACTATCCCAAAGCCTTTTGCGTTTGGGGGTGTGATAATAGACCCACTTTCCACTATTACAAGAAAACTCTCCTCTTTTTTGTCTAGCAAGCAAAGAAATGGAAATGTTTAAATGGCACTCTCAATCAATTCGTATGGTAGCCATTTTCTACGGCAGCACCTATTGCTACCTGTTGTAGTGTTGTTTGTTGGTAAATGATGAATTCTTTATTAATGAAGCCAAGGTATCAGCTTCAGTAGCATTTTTATGTGAGCTACGTCCTTTCAAACTATTAGGAGGGACGAGATGAGATCGCAGGATTCGCCAATGATGGGACATTCTTCACTCTCACTCACGTACATTTCAGTACATTCCTTGTGGAATACATGATTATATGAAATAACGTCTTAATAGTGTGATACTTGTGTAGGTCCTCTCCACCAAGAAACTATTAGTCAAATCGAACTGATTAGTCCAGAATACCACAGAAAGGAATAAAAATTAAAAAAAAAAAAAAACTATGAAAAAATGGAACGGTTTGTGCTTTGCGTAATATTTGAGATAATTGAATAATATGTAATATATGTTATATCATATAATGTAATTTATTTATGATATAAAAGTATGTATGTATGTATGTATCTTATAGAGTTATTGTTAACAGCTTCAAAAAAAACATATTAATTCAGTTATGGAGGATGAAAAAGACTTTTAGCCTCTTTGGATTCTTTAACGGTAAATTAGAAAGTGACATTCATCATCCAAATTTATGTTTCTCTTCTCTAATGGACATAAAGCTCAACTTAACACTAACAATTCACGCACCCGATTAACTAAACGTATGGACAACTCGCGTGTCACTACTTCATCAATGATTGGTTTGTCTCTTAATTTATCAAAGAAAGGAACCACCTGTTGTTTTTTGGATTTTGACAACAACTAATGTAATATAAGTAAATGTAAATAAATATTTGCTTCGTTTTTCTGCTTTTTCATTTGCTCATGAACGATAGAATTGAAACTAACACGAATGCCTTATATGATGGCAATAAAAACGTTCATCGGCTTGCTCGCACATGAAAGCTAACTTTCGAATGCAGTTGTGCCTAATGCACGCGATCTGCCGGCGCAGTTTAAATACTACAGCAACAAGTAATTTTTAAAGCATCGTATGGTTCGAAACTGAATCAGTTATGTTCAGCACTGTCGGTTGGCAATCGTTTGCAAGTTCGCTTCGAAAACCACTCCTAGCTTGGCATTTGGTAATTATGCTGTTGAAGTTGAATTTTCACATGTAAAATATCTAATATACCCCTTTCCGTATTTGATGATGGCCTTTGAAATTTTATATGTACCTTAGTGTGGTCGCTTGACGCTTTTGTGATCAATTTGAAATAAATAATTAAATCAATAGCAGAGTTTTTATGAAATGTTAGCCATAATTTCGGACGGGAAATTAATAAATAAATATTGTTAGAAAAGAGAACATTTATTTTGATTATCAACTTTCCAGTTTAATGTTGTACTTTGTGACACATTTAGCAAAACAATCAATTTTCACGGTTTGGTTCATTTGGCCAATTCTTAATATGAGCCTGTGTGCAAAACATTTCGAATGTTTCCTCCAAATATCGAACCGAAATTTTAAATTTTGCGATAACAAGCATATTTACTACAGAAAGGCATCGAACAGACAGACGGCCGGACAGACACGCCCGCATCGATTCAGAACTTAATGCTGATAGAGAGTATACATACTTTTCATCGTCTTCTAAGCTTTCGTCTACGTATTGTAAACATGTTATCAAAATGAAAATACTGCAATTCTTCAGAGCAGTTGTCTGCTCACCTAGGCATAGCTTTTAAAAGGTTTTCAAAATTTATATAATAAATTTTTTTTCAAAATGAACAACGGCAGCTGGACAGACACGCCTGCATCGATTCAGAACTTAATGCTGATAGAGTGTACACCTACTTTATACCGTCTTCGATGCTTCCAACTACGCGCTATAAACATGTTTGTCAAAATGAAATGAATGTCTGCTCAAATAGGAATAATTTTTAAAAGGTTTTCAAGCTCATGTAAAAAATATTTAAAAAATTAACATTATTTTTGGCCTTGACAGTTAGTTGTTGAAGAAACTTACGCGGAAGAGAATCTAAAATGCCTCTCTTTTCATTCACCATTTATATGATGAAAGAAAAAAGCTATCAGAAAGAGAGATAATTTTATTATATACAAAAAAAATCTTATAAAAAATGTAACATTGACATTGGTGTTAATAAGTTTCGAAGCAAATGTGTTTCTTATATTTCTTGCTGTTAATAACATCGCCTTGCGAATGCACTTTTTTCTTTTTATTATCATTAGTATTTCTATGAAAGGCCACGGGGACGGGACGGCTGAACATTGCGCTAAAGTGAAAAAATATTTAAAATATTATTATATTGATTTAAATGCGATTATTTCGTAGAAAACGAAAAGTTTATTAACATTTAATCTACTAAAGTTATTAAGAAATAACTGCTGTACTCGCATTTTTAACGTTTGGAACAGCTGTTTAGTAGCGGTATTTACAAAAAAAAAAAACAACAACAATTTTATCACCACTTTTGTTTAATAAACAAATACACATAGATAAATAAATAAAAACAAAATTGTAAACGCAATGCATGCGAAATAAAAAAGCGGCTTATTTTTTTAAAGCACTGAGAATTTGTACAGATGTACTTTCGGTATATTGCACTAGCGCAACGAGAAGGTGTACTGGCTTTGCCAGAGCCGATGTAACATCAAGAAATATTATATTTCAAATATATAAACATACAAACAATATTGCCTGCATACACACACACACATAGCTTTTGTAAAGGTGAGCGTTGAAATTGTTCGAAGGATAAGTTAATAGAGACAAAAAGTGAAGACATTATAATCTTGTAAGATGGACCATTGATTACCCGACACTACTTCTTCTAATACCTCATACCTCGCTATCATGGGAATGGTGGCTCGTCATGCCAACGCTCATATCTTTCAAGGAGGTATTCCAATGGGGTAAAGGTAATTTTTTTGTCCAAAACTTCACATTCTTCACGTACTTTTGTTATTAATTATCCAAAATTAGATACTGTTGCCGTATGAAGGCTTATTTTAGGAGGGGTATGATCTAAACATGCCGCAGCAGCAATGCAGCTCATGCTTAATGAAAGGTGATGTAAAGGATAATAGTTGCATTTTCGAAGAAGTGAAAGGGTCGGAAAGTACGAAAACTCATGAAGAAAGCAATTGATAGAATCAACAAGTTCACATATTTTGAAATTTGACCGAAAAGTCACATCTTAAGATAGCTCAGTTTGCGTTCACGCCTTTAAAAACTATCACCTGTTTTTTAAAGCACTACATGCCTGCTCCTATGTCCTTGTAGGTTTTATTTTTAAAATTCAGAGAAGAGCAGCTCTACATAAAAAGAGATAAAAAAACTTCCGTTTAAAGAGGAGTAGATGAATACATCACTTGTGTTTGGAAAAATGTGTTTCCTTTAACGGCAATTAAGTTGGATGGAGGATGTTAATGCAAACTTCGACTCTATATATTCCACAGTTTGAAAATTCTTCTCAATAGGAGCAAGGTAGTGATGGGCATTAGAATATGCGGCTTAAGTGATTTCCTTACACCAACCACTAAAGGATGACGGTATACTCAATTTGTCGAATGTAGGCTTCAGAGACTCTGTTAAGTATATATATATATATATATATATACTTGATCAGCATGAAACTCTGAAGTGATTAGGTCGCGTCTGCCCGTCCGCCTGAAGTGTATTGTATGTGTTATTGAAATTCTCCTGCTCCCAAAAATAAAAGTATGGACTTCAAATTTGGGCAGGTTGGTATTGAAAGTGAGCTACACTAAACGCAACTTTGTTTAAAAAAAAAAAAAAAAAAAAAAAAAATACGACGTCAAAGATTTCAATGGTTGTGGGTATGCGAGATTCGGCTCCAACTGAATATAACTTTCTCGCTTGTGTATTTTAGGTATTTTCTGAAGCCATTAATTTCAAGAAAATATGAATAAATTATTTAGAAAACAAACCTCAAATTTCTCAACTATTAATAGCTTATGGCAAAACCCACAAAATCGAAATAAACAAAGTTATTGGATGCAGCCCTATTATTTTTTAACCATTTAAAAAGCATATATTTAAAAAATTAAAATTTCAAATAAACAACAATTCCAATTATATTACAACAATTCAAATATATTTCAAAAAAGTGAAAGACAGAACGAACTATTTTGATATAACATAATAAAACATGTTCGTTGTAAACAAAAGTTAACAGGTGAAGTGACTCCCCCTCAACGGACATATAGACATAATTAATTAATCACAAATTTAACAAAGTCATAAATTTTTCATTAAGTACTCTAAGCAAGTTTTTTATAAAAATATCAGCTATCATATTGACAAAGTTGCAGAACGTTAACACAATTTCACTTTGTTTATATATATACCGCTAATGTGTTGACAACGGGTCGGTGGATGGCACTTGAGTTACTTTATGAAATTCGAAGCACATTCCATTCAGTAAATTCTTGATAAATACACCTTCCCCTCCTTTCGTGCACGCCGTATCTTTCGACTCTGTGCTGCTTAGATCTACTGAACGAAACGAAAATTCTGCTTCTGCAAAGAAAAATGCTTATCGGGTATACGACTTTCGATCCTTACCATCACCACTATAGTCAGCGTCTATGTGAACTACAATTTGTCGACCTGACTTGCAGTATTTCAATGGTTCCTTTTGTGTTGCACACAGGTATCTTAGAATGCGTTTTGCTACTGACGTGTGTTCTTTAGGTGGTTACTTATTCCTTTGCCCTACTCCACGTACGGACTATGAAATGTCTTGGCAAGTGCTTACTACTAAGTGCGTAAGCGATCCTATAAGACTCTAGCATATACACGGCTATATTACATTCTATCTGGTGTCGTGTACCAAGTGGTATTCCTATTGGCCGACAACTTTCCATTTTTTAAGTCTGCATTAGCTTCTTGATATGTCTTTTCTCACAAATATGCCGCAAATTGATTCCACTTCTAGGCTTAAAAAATGTTGAACAGGTCCTTTGTCTAGCACTTCAATCTTCGCTATCAGGTATTTTTTGATTCGAGTCATCGTCTATTTACTCGAGCAGCTTATAAATAAATCATCAATATATATTTCCTTACCAGTGTTCTTAGTATAAACGCAAGATGCACTCTTGCGTTGGTGGGAAACGATTCAAAGTGATGTTCGAAGATCAGAGTTGCTTTGTAGAAAGAGTAAACCGATTGAATTATTTTCATACTTACTTAAGAAAGCCACATAGTTGTTTAAATCAATGCCTTAAAAAATCCAAGAATAAATACTGTTAGAAGTCATACAATCTACACCTATACACATAGCGGAGGAAAATCTAAAAATAAATGCCTCGGATTAAAGTTAAATATAACAGCTGGGCTTGTAAAATAGGTTATGTAGTAAGATAAAAAGTTCATTTAATACACAAGAATGTTATTAGATAAGTGATAAATTAATATAAATTTTTTTCATAATTTGATCAATTTTGTTTTTGTAGCGAGTCTACATTTGCTACTTTGTGCAGCTTTTTAATAGAAAAGGACTTAGGCAAGTTGAGCATCGTTTTTATTCATTTATTTTGGCATGTTTCCAAGTCGGGATCTATCCGACACCTCTTAGTTAGTTCTCTACGAAATTTCGGGGTAACCGCAGCCTCTCGAAGAGCTGCATCTAACAGTCAGGCGAGAAGGCATTCATCTCGATAATCAGATAGGTAGTGCATCTTCCTACCAGGAGCAGTCCTACTTTTGCACAATCTGCTCCCGTGTACATCCGTTAAGCTGACGACTTATCGTTCCAATTACGAACTTACGTCAAGCTATACAGATTTAGGTAACCCCTCAGTGCACGCAGCCGTAGCCACTTTTGCCTTTGGACTTGACACACGTTCCGGAAGGCCATGCATTACCCAATCCTATCTCGAGGAAATAATGTTTCCAACAGCGCACGCCCAACTGTGCTCCAACATTCTTAAACTTCGTTGACCATCAGAACAACCTGAATTTGATGATCTCCATAAAAGAGAACCAAAGCGAGAAGAATTGAAAAGCGAGCCATCTTGCGATAGTCCTCTTGGGTTTCCAAGAAAAAAATCGTCGCCATGTTATAAACAGCAAACCCAAGTACTTAACCTTAAACACGGACTCCTTTGCCGTTGACTGTGCTGCTTTTGAGCGGGGGAACCATGAAAGCAATAGTCAACGTTTATAGAGAGCATCACGAAAAGATGAGGGTCTCAGGAGGTCTGTGATCACGTTGAGAATCGCTTAGTTCCACTCCCCCAAACCTTCTTTACAGTGCTTGACTACCAAGTCGAAAATAGCGCCAAGTTTTGTGCCTTTGCTAAAAATGTCGTTACTAAGTTGCAGTTTATCGCTAAGTAAAAAAAAGCAAATAAGTATTAAAATTAGAAAATGTTAGGAGGCAAGCACATATAAAACAATAAAATAAACTAAGCACATCATAAAACAAACTAAACCTTTAATTACGATCACAAAAACAAAAAAAAACTAAATTATAGCTACTAATTTTCATGGACAGTTACAATAGCAACACTAAAAGAATGCATTGTCCAAATCGAGTTATAATAATCTCCAGAGACATTATATGTCTCTAAATTTTAAATATGTCTTAAACAATGCCGGAACCTATCAGAAACAAGTAATTTTATTACTAAATCCCTTCTTTATCACCGCAGATTTTAGATATCTTTTAATGGGACGCTAGTTTTGGATTTTCTGCTAGTTAATGCATAATGTGTATAGCATGTAATGTACAGGCAGTCTTGTATTTGTGTTTGAACGTGATTGGGCAAGATTAACTATTTGTTCAATATAACTCTCAAGCATTTAACGCGGTCAAAAACAATGGACCTTCGATTCTCAAATTAGATGAAGGGTTCCTTTTCCCAATTAAAAAACGTACGCGTACGTCTTATCTGCATTTAACTTTATTTTCCATTTATTTAGGCAATTAAACATTATACTAATCGCGATTTGCAACTTATCAACTACTTCACAAGCATACACCGATATCATCAAAGTATAAATCAATCCAAGTGACAATCAATAAGTTTCGGGAAGTCGAACATAGGATCGAATATAGCATATTTAAAAACATTTAGATCTGTAGCAATGTATATACCTCTGTGGATGTATATAAGTTAAATTTCTTCTCAAAAAGCATCGAAGAAGCAACGTTCTATTCTCATGGAAAGTTTGTGATGCCCAAATCGATTTCTTTTTAATATCAACAACCTAATTGTCCACCCACAAATTTTGAGCATTAACTCATTCGCTTCCTTGTAGCATTCCCTTCCCATAGCGTTCATCGGTAGACATAACAAGACGGTTAGGAAGTTTGACCATTTTTGTCCTCTTAAACGAAATGATTAGTGGAGACGTCACAACTGTAAGGACGTTTCCGTCCCTTTCCTAAAGGCTGGGACAGCTCAGCGGCCTAGGATAATGGAAACGCACAAGAAATTTGTATTTTGCAGGGACCTTTATTTTCTATTTCTCTCGTTACACTTTCCTTTCAAACGCGTCTCTACAAATCTACGACCACAACTGAACTTCATTAGTCGGCGACTCAAACTCAACTTACTTAACCTATCCTTAACCTAACTTAACCTAATCTTAATCTATTTCTATCCTATCTTAATCTATTCCTATTCTATCTTAATCTATTCTTATCCAATGTATATCCTATTCTTATACTACGCCTATCCTACTCTTATCCTATCTTACTCCCTAGCACTCCTCTCTCCCCAGCCAAAGACAGAGAACCCGTGAGGCCAAAACGAGGGACGACTTTGGGTCCTTACACAACATGTAGATATTCTTGATCAGCAACAAATTCTAAATCAATTTAAGCATGTTCGTCTATATGGCTGTGCAAAATTGTGTATAAACACTCTCCTGGTCGCAAAAATGAAGT